TGCACATGAAGAGAGAGATCATCCGGGACATCACACCAAGTATGAACAAGACAAATAGATGCTAGACTAATGAAAAGCACATGCACATGAAGGGAGAGATCATCCGAAATATCACACCAAGTATGAACAAGACAAAGAGATGCTAGACTAATGAAAAGCACATGCATATGAAGGGAAAGATAATCCGGAACATTACACCAAGTAGGAACATGACAATGAGTGGTTAGACTAACGAAAAGCACATGCCCATGAAGGGAGAGATCATCCGGAACATCACACCAAGTATGAACAAGACAAATAGATGCTAGACTAATGAAAAACACATGCAAATGAAGGGAAGATCATCCGGAACATGAACTTGACAAAGAGAGGCTAGACTAGTGGAAGCACATGCACAAAGGGAAGAGACCAATGAAGTAGAGATCCGGAACATGAACTTGACAATGAGAGACTAGACTAGTGGAAAGTACATGCAAATGAAGGGAAGATCATCCGGAATATTACACCAAGTATGAACAAGATAAAGAGAAGCTAGACTAATGAAAAGCACATGCACATGAGGGGAAGATCATCCAGAACATTACGCCAAGTAGGAACATGACAAGGAGATGCTAGGACTGAATGAAAAAGCTCATGCACATGAAGGGAAGATCATCCGGAACATTACACCAAGTATGAACAAGACCAAGTGATGCTCGACTAGATGGAAAGCACATGCACATAGAGGGAAGATCTTCCGGAACATTACACTAAGTAGGAACACGACAATGGGTGGCTAGACTAACGGAAAGCACATGCACATGAAGGGAAAGATCATCCGGTACATTACACCAAGTAGGAACATGACAATGAGTGGTTAGACTAACGAAAAGCACATGCACATGAAGGGAGAGATCATCCGGAACTTCATACCAAGTATGAACAAGACATAGAGATACTAGACTAATGAAAAGCACTTGCACATGAAGGGAAGATCATCCGGAACGTGAACTTGACAAAGAGAGGCTAGACTAGTGGAAGCACATGCACAAAGGGAAGAGACCAATTAAGTAGAGATCCGGAGCATGAACTTGACAATGAGAGACTAGACTTGTGGAAAGTACATGCACATGAAGGGAAGATCATCCGGAATATTACACCAAGTATGAACAAGACAAAGAGATGCTAGACTAATGAAAAGCACATGCACATGGGGGGAAGATCATCCGGAACATTACATCGAGTAGGAACATGACAAGGAGATGCTAGGACTAAATGAAAAAGCACATGCACATGAAGGGAAGATCATCCGGTACACTACACCAAGTAGGAACATGACAAAGAGATGCTAGGACTAGCTGACAAGCACATGCACATGAAGGGAAGATCATCCGAAACATTACACCTATGTATGATCAAGACCAAGTGATGCTAGACTAGATGGAAAGCACACACACATAGAGGGAAGATCATCTGGAACATCACATGCTATTACGTGAGTGAAAACAAGAGTCTAAGTAGGCAAGATCACCAAAGTTGAATCAAAGGCCATCTATGAAAGAAGCGTTATACTACCTACTTGTGTGAGTGTGAAAAACACAAGTTTGGAGAGCCCAAACCACCAAGATTGCATCAAGAAGCACCCATGTGTAAAGCGCTATACTACCTACTAGTGTGAGTGTGAAAAACACAAGTTTGGAGAGCCCAAATCACCAAGATTGCATCAAGAAGCACCCATGTGTGAAGCGTTATACTACCTACTAGTGTGAGTGTGAAAATCACAAATTTGAAGAGCCCAAATCACCAAGATTGCATCAAGAATCATCCATGGGTGCAGCGCTATACTACCTACTGTGTGAGTGTGAAAATCACAAGTTTGAAGCTCCCAAATCACCAAGATTGCATCGAGAAGCATCCATGTGTGAAGCGCTACACTACCTACTAGTGTGAGTGTGAAAATCACAAGTTTTGAGAGCCCAAATCACCAAGATTGCATCAAGAAGCATCCATGTGTGCAGCGCTATACTACCTACTAGTGTGAGTGTGAAAATCGCAAGTTTGAAGCTCCCAAATCACCAAGATTGCATCAAGAAGCATCCATGTGTGANAGCGCTATACTACCTACTAGTGTGAGTGTGAAAATCGCAAGTTTGAAGCTCCCAAATCACCAAGATTGCATCAAGAAGCATCCATGTGTGAAGCGGTACACTACCTACTAGTGTGAGTGTGAAAATCACAAGTTTGGAGAGCCCAAATCACCAAGATTGCATCAAGAAGCATCCATGGGTGCAACGCTATACTACCTACTAGTGTGAGTGTGAAATCGCAAGTTTGAAGCTCCCAAATCACCAAGATTGCATTAAGAAGCATCCATGTGTGAAGGGCTACACTACCTATTAGTGTGAGTGTGAAAATCACAAGTTTGGAAGAGCCCAAATCACCAAGATTGCATCAAGAATCATCCATGGGTGCAACGCTACACTACCTACTAGTGTGAGTATGAAAATCACAAGTTTGAAGCTCCCAAATCACCAAGATTGTATCATGGATCACTTATGGGTGAAGCGCTATACTACCTACTAGTTTAAGTGTGAAAAACACAAGTTTGGAGAGCCGAAATCACCAAGATTGTATCTAGAAGCATCTAGGAAAGAATCGGAGTACTACCTCCTTGTGCATAAGTGAAAGAGAAGAGTTTGAGTAGGTGAAGGTGAAGTAAGAGACGACGGAGGACAAGGGGAGAGAGATGAGGGAGATGGAGATGGAGAAGAAGGGGAGGAAGACAAAGAGAATGAAAGTGAAGAGGAGGAAGGAGGAGATGAAGAGGGGAAAAAGGAGAAGGAAGAAGGAGGGAGTGAGGAGGAAGAAGAGGCAGAAGAAGGAGGAGAGGAAGAAGAAGAAGAAGAAGAAGAGGAAGAAGAAGAAGAAGAAGAAGGAGAAGAAGAAGGAGAAGAAGAAGGAGAAGAGGAAGAAGAAAAAGATGGAGGTGAAGAAGTCTCTTCCTTCCTCTCACCTTGTTGATTCCTTGATGTTGGTGTCCTCTTGATGAAGCTTCCTCTCCTTGCACAATCCCCCTTTGGCTATAACTTCCTTCTTCTCCAAGCCCTTCTCTCCTCCTTCCTTGCTCTCCCTCAGGCTATGACAAGCTCCCCCAGTTATGGCTATGGAGTCCTCCCCTCTAGGAGGGCTAATGGGGCTCCTCTAGCCTCTCCTTCTCTCCTACACCCAGGAGGGATATGGCGGATCACCTCCCAAGTGACTCTCCCACCATCACTATCCTCTAGAGTCCTCCCCACTACCTCCTAGTCTCCCCTAAGCTCTCCCACTAGCATGGGCTCCTCCCTCCTCACTCCAAGTGCAAAGGTGCTCCTGTGAGCTCACTTGGGCAGCATGGGCACTCCTCATGCAAATGTGAGAGTGGCGGACTGCATCCTCAGCTTATGAAGGCTGAAACCAGCAGTCCGGCCAGCCCATGAGCCTCTCCAAGTGCCTGGGGGTGAGCCGAGGTACCCCCAAGGCCAAATTCCCCTACTTGGCCCTTTTGGAGGTACCTGGGCCTCATTTTGGCCAAGTGCATGCAGTCTGAGTGGTTGGTACCAACTCGGACCGCCTCTTGGCCTACTCCGGCCTCATTTTCATTGCTCAAATGCTGCCCCCTAGGGTCCTAATGCCTAAGGGGCAGCAATACTTGAGAGAAAAAGCCTTGTGGGCCTTTTTTCTCGATTTTTTCAAGTTTCGGCCTCCCTTGGGTAGGCCGGAGCATTTTTCTTTGTGGCAGCACATTTTCAACCTTGGATCTGGCTGAGATCCAAGGCCAGCAATAATCCGAGCTACCCCCTAGTAGCCCTTGCTTCAATTTTGAGCCCCTAAGTCTACTTTTTCAATTTTTGGTGCATCTGGCTCTCTTTTCGGGCCAAATGCAGAGTTTTGGCCTTTTCCCTCTTTTGTTTCTTTCCATTTTGGGCTGCCACCTCATTTCAGAGCTAACCGTTTTGAGATGGCCCACAAAAAACGGCTAGTTCCTCTCCACCATGAGATCTGATCTCAGATCCATGATCAAAAAGCAATCCGGCCACTTCCTTTTTGCCTTTTCTTTCATTTTTTGCTTTTTAATTCAGATTTTATTGAGATATGGCCACAAGGGTCATATCTCTTCAATCCGGATTGACCTTCCTCATTCTAGAAGGGATGAGGTCACTGTTGGGACCTGCCAGTCCCTACTGTGCAGGTCCCAATAGGCCGGCACACTCTCCTCTACTCTTTTCTCCCTTTTTGTCTCATTCTCCCTCCTTTTTTCTCTAATTTTTCTTTCTTTTTCTTTTATTTCTGTTGTGACAAGTGTCAAACTGCTGTGCACCCTCTTTCTAGGCCCTAGGGCCTCATTCAAGGCCAGGTTTATGGCTGTTACTTGGACGTTACATCTCGGATTCTAATAATGGCACCCCCATGCTCCTAGGGGGCTCCATTTTGCTCCCGTTTGCCCAATTTTGAGCCCCTTTTGCTCCAATTTTCTAAGTGCAGCCTTTTTCTCATGTTGAGCCTCTTAAGGCTCTATTTTCTTATGCCTTGCTAGTCCGAGATATCCCGGACTGTCGGGCGGCCTTCCCAACATCCTTATTTCATTTTTCTTTCTCCCATGGCTCTCCCACTTGCTCCCACTAGTGCTTGCACTAGTGGTGCTAATATTTTCCACCGTCTAGATCCTCGATCTCGACGGTGCCGTTTGCTTGCACAATTATTCCTTGTGTTTGCTCATGGTTGTCTTGGGACATCCCAAGTCCCCGCCATTTTCCTACATGCTAGCTCCATTTCTTTGTCCCGCCGGTGGTCCCGCCGGCGCGTGTCCTGTTTTTCGACTTTTATTATTTGGACCCATTTGGTCCCCGACAACATTCCGGACGGCGTCCCATTTTTATTTTTTTGGGGCCCATTGCCCTTGGTGGTCCCATCATTTCTACATGTGTGCCGATTTTTCTAAGCCGTGGGATCTCATCTCACGGTTGCCGTTTACCGTCTTTACTTGCCCCTTGCCGAAATTGCTCCTTTCTAGCCTTCCGGGTTTGCCGTAGCCCATTCCCCCTTTGGCTTTGGCATCCCTATGCAGTCCTTAATTTCTCGGACTGCAGTCATGGCTGTTTTCTATACCCACAGCCCCAGAACTTGCCCCATGTAAAAAGAAAATGAAGCATTAAATTTTCTAGAGCATTCGGGCTCAATATTGGCTCCGGATGCACCTAGAACATGTGTTTTCTCTCCCCCATGCAGTCCGTTGCAACTCGGACTGCAATGGGGTCAATTCCTTAGCCCCAATGCCCCACAACTAGCCCCTACTCAAAAGAAAAAGAAACGGCCAATTCCCAAGTGCATCCAGCCTTGATTTTGGCTCCGGATGCACCTAAAACATGTGTTTCTCCTCATGCATGTATTCCGTTTTATTCCGGTTGCAAGAGGCCTTGATTTTCTTTGATTTTTTCTGCAAAAATCAAAGAAAGTCAAAGTCCTTTGTAACTGCCATATTCCAGAATGAATCTGGTGACGATGAATCTATTCAAGTGATCGTTTTTTACCGTTAAGGCCTTTTTCTTTTTTCTTTTCTTTTCTTTTCTTTTCTTTTCTTTTCTTTTTTCCTCCTTTCTGGGATAGTAGGGACCTGCTAGTCCCTACCTATGGCAGTCCCTACTGACGGCCAACTCACTCACTCCCTCTCACTCTTTTTGTCTTATTCTCCCCCATTTTTTTTTTTTTTTTTTTTTTTTTTAGCATGCCAAGTGTCAAGTGGCCGTTAAGGCCCTTTTCTAGCCTCTTCCTCTTAGTTTTGGCCCTCACTATGCCCAAGGTGCAGTACGTTATTTCTCGGACTGCAATAATGGTCTTCCCATGCCCATGGGAGCCTCCTTTTACTCCTACATTTCTCCCACAATGGTCCCTCCTACTCCGATTTTCTCCCGGAGGGCTATTTTTCACATGGGGTCTTATTTGACTCTATTTTCTTGAGGGAGGTTGATCCGAGATTTTTCGGATTGCTCCCATGCCTCCCACTTCAGTTTTCTTTACTTTTCCTTTTCCTTTTGGCCTTCCCGT